AAATTGATAACCAGTTTCTAGCTTATAGACTTACAATTTGTCTTAATGCATCCTTTTATATTCCCTAAAATTGTAAGGAATAATCCTGTAAAAAAAACGCTATGTTAGTTTTTACTGATGGTTCTTCTAATAGAAAAGCCGCCTATGTTATTGATGGCAAAGAATATGTAGAAGAAGCAGCACCAGTTTCAGCTCAGATAGTTGAGTTGCAAGCTGTTGCAATAGTTTTTTTCAGCTTCTAGTAAATGATTCATTTAATGTGTGTACTGATAGTCATTATGGTTTTAAAGCTATTCAAATGATAGAGACAATTCCATGCATTGGAACTAGTAATGACCAGGTTAGAATACTGCTTGAGCAAATTAAAAATGCAATTCATCGAAGAAACTTGCCGTGCTTTGTGGGTCACATAAGAGCTCATTCAAACCTTCCTGGCCCACTGGCTGAAGGGAACGAGTCAGTGGATAGATTAACAAAATTTATCGACTTATCCCAGGTAGAACTAGCTCAGCAGTCACATAAGTTTCATCATCAGAAAAGCAGAAGTCTGAGAAAGCAATTTGGTTTAACTAGAGAGACTGCTTGTCAAGTTGTCAAACAGTGTGATGTGTGCCCACAATATTTACCTGTAACTAATTTAGGAGTAAATCCTCGAGGCCTGCTTCCTAATCATTTATGGCAAATGGATATTACTCATATTGCAGAAGTTGGCAAGTTAAAATACATGCACGTGGCAGTTGTTATGTATTCAGGCTTCTTAATGGCCACTGCACAAACTGGAGAAGCCACTAAGCATGAGATAACTCACTGCTTAAAATGTTTTGTTTCCATGAGTGTTCCAAAAGTGATAAAAAACAGACAATGGATCTGGATATACTAGTAAGGCATTTCAGCAATTTTGTGCTCAATGGAAAATTGATCACAAAACAGGCATTCCTTATAATCCTCAAGGACAAGGAATTGTGGAGCATGCTCACAGCTCCTTTTTTTTTCCTTTTCTTTTCTTTTTGGTTTTTTTTTTCGAGGCAGGGTTTCTCTGTATTGTTTTGGAGCCTGTCCTGGAACTCGCTCGGTAGACCAGGCTGGTCTGGAGCTCACAGAGATCCACCTACCTCTGCCTTCCAAATGCTGGGAAAGGTGTGCACCACCAACGCTCGGCTGCTCACAGCTCCTTAAAAGCACAACTTCAAAATATAAAAAGAGGGGAATTGTGCTCCCAGTCTTCACATGATGCATGAAATCATGCGCTCTTCATTTTAAATCTTTTGGATATGGATGCCAGTGAGCAATCCGCTGCAGACAAATTCTGGCATGATGGAACTTGAGAGACATTCCTCAAGTCAAGTGGAAAGATCCATGCACTTGACAATGGAAAGGACCCGGTCCTGTCCTAGTATGGGGTTGAAGGCAAGTTTGTGTTTTCTCAAAGGAAGAAGATGAGTCTCGATGGCTGACAGACTGTGTGGTGAGATGCATGGAATACAGGAAAACCGGACCTGAGACCGCAAGAATCTGCCTAAGCCAGTTTGAGTAAGACCCACCGAACCTGTGTTCCTGATCTCCTGATGTCATCAATTCTACAGTTGGAGAAACAAAGGAAATAGTCGGTTCGAGAGTTCCAGTTTCTCTGCAGGTCTGCTGCATTGATTTCCCAGACCTGTGAGTTCTCATCCTGGAGCCAACCAAGGACTGGATGACTAGCAGTTTTCCACACCACACCTTGAAACACAGAACTCATTTTGCCAGCTTTTGCCTTAGGGAAAAAGGTCCCATTTAGAACAATTGGACACTGTTATAAACCTGATGGTGGCTAAAGCCCCTCCTCAGTATTTGAACAGAACATGGACAAAAGTTTGCAGCTAACATTCAAGGACTGTAATATCTCAAACTTATTTTTGAACTTTACAAGCAGCAAAGTATCAGACTTTAGATAGGGAACAGGAAAAAGTTCAGGATTGTGGAGTTAGTCATATTCCACCCATCCTGCAAACATTTTATTATCCTTTGATTGAATTTAAATTATGAGAATTGTAACACAGTCAATTTGTATGTCTATTATTACTAATCATACTGGAATTATTGATGTTTGTAACCTTTGCTATGCTATGTGTTTATGGATGTAAGACGTCAGAGCTCATTCTGACAGGAATTTGACGTGATGCTTATGAATATTTGGGTACAATGTGATTAGAAAGGCAGATTTAGACTTTGATATACACAAAGGCACTCCCACACCAATTTCAAAAGACCATTTTAACTTGGTTCTTCCTCTCCTTTTGCAGGAGTTTGGTGCAGCGGCGAAGACTCAAATGTTGCTTAGCATTATCAAGCTTGCTCACACTGAAAAAAATTGGCTTAGAGGTGTGTGGCATCAAGCTATTCTCAATATAACCCCTCAATATGGAGCTAATACAGATGGTCCAAGACAATAGACACATGAACCATGGACTATAATGTGTAGTCTTTCCACCACCCTGGTTTTAGAGTTGCGTCAGTCCCAAATGAACACACAGCAGATTATATTAATTATGAAGCCATTGGCCATTTGTTATTGTTACTCATTGGCTAATTCTATCTTAATTATTGATGCATAATTATTAATATATATTTTATATGGTCTTATCTTACCGAGAATGCAGACTTGCATCCCCTTTTCCTGGGAACCACATGGCAATGGCTCAGTTTACTTCATTTCCCAGAATCCTCCTAAACTCCTAGTCCCACCTATCTTGCTTCCCTGTTGGCCAACAGTGGTTTATTTACATATACACAGGATTTCCCCATCATCTCCTCTTTTTTGTCTAAATAAAAAGAAAGGTTTTAACATTAACATAGTCAAATTATATATAACAAAACAGTTATTAATCAAGAACTATAATTACAATATTTTGTCCATTAACATTTAGTAAGATTTAAAGAAAATGTCATCTATCCTATCTTTGTGAGTCTAAAGTCTTATATGTAACTTATCTTTTATCATAACTAAGGAAAACGATAACTACAACTCTCTGCCTTCAACTCCATCAAAGACCACAGAAGGATAATATATAAACACTAGAACTGACAGAGGCATCTCGCTGCCTGAACAGACATCTGAAGTTCCTCTGTAATGTTGGCATCCACCTTCAGCCCATAGGCCACAGTATCTGGCAGACTTCTCAGCAAAGCAGGAAATTTTAAACTGTCCACCTGCGTTGGCAGTTTGTCAGTCATTTTTCTGTGTCCTGCAGAATGTCTGGCAGACTCTTCCATGAAGCAGGAACCCTACAGCTGCTGTTCAAGTTCAGCAGTCACTTTCCTGTGTCCAGATTATACAGCAACAGTTAAAGAGTCTAGGCAAGAGCAGTTTCTTGCCCAAATGGCTAATCTTGCCATGTTGAAAGCAAACTCCATAACGAGTTTCCTCGATGCCCATCTTCCTTTCAGACGTACTTGATGTGTCAGGAGCAGACATTTCTCATTGTCAAGAAAAACCCTAAACCACTTTAAATGCCATTTTCTGAAGGTCTTTGAAAGATTTGAAGACTATCTATCTATCTCAAATATATCTCTATATCTAGAAAACCTAACTAACGTAACTATAAGTTCAGACTATTATAAGTAACTATCTATAATCTGTATTTAATTATGTATTGTGTTTTTTAAAATCAGTATAAACACAATACTTAAACAAGAGGAGAAATATACATATCACAAAATTGATCTTGAATTTGTATCAATAAATGAAAATCCATTCCAAGACAAAGTATTCATTTCTATATCATATTCCCTTTTTTCCCTTTAGAAAGAGGTTTACTATGATCATTACCATTTATAAGTAACCCTGTATAAATGAAAACAAATATTTAAACAATATTTGGGAATTTGGGCATTGGTCATTCCAAGCGGCTTCCTGCTGGATGTAGGCACTGCCCATACCATGGGGATCATGACAAAACACAGAAACCTGTATATGTCCTTGCTTTTGTGGTCTGTACAACTATCGTCCCAGCTGTTTCAGATGCTGGACTGCCTGGATATTGCTTCATCAAACCACAGAAGCCTGGAAGGAATCCACGGCTTTTCATTTTCTGTGGAAACATAAACAAAAACTCTTTTTCCAAGTAACCTGTCCTTATATTTAAATTTAGAAGTCAAAGCATTTTTAAAAGATATAAGTTGGATTAATTCAACAGCACTTATAATCAAGTGTATTTTAGTAGTTGTTCCTTCTTTAGCAATTGAAAAACTGAAAAATACAATAGCATACAGTATCTAGACTCTCTGTGTATTTTTTATCTTTATGTGGCTTATTTAACTCATTATTATTTTATTTTTTAACTTTCGTTTATTTCTCTGAGACAGACTTTTTTCTGGAAATCTGTCTGTCTCTGTCTCTGAAGTAAATTTTACTGGTATGTGCCACTACAACCGGCTTTTTTATTTTATTTTTTTACCACTATCCTGGTTTTTTTTTCTCTTAAGTCTACATATATTTTTTAAACACAGTGTAAATCTTTAGAGGTTTTTTTTTTAAATCTGAATCTTACTTTCCTGTAAATCTTTTTTTTTTTTTTTGGCCATGTGTCTGTTATCTGTTAAACAACATTGTTAATCAAAACTGCAGCTGTTTTAACTGTGGTTTTTCCAAGATGGCAGGCATAAATTTACCACCAGCACTGGCCATGGAAGTCTCTGCTTGTCTCTAGTAAAAGAGAGCTCACTAGAGAAAAATGCTACTAACAAGTAGCTGTGCGTTTCTTTGTTCTTTTGTTTTTAAAATACCTTTTAAGCTTCTGTCATTTTATGTGGAAATTTATAATCTCACTTCTGACACCATGTATAACGTGTAGTCTTCCCACCAGCCTGGTTTTAGAGTTGCGTCAGTCCCAAATGAACACACAGCAGACTATATTATTTATGAAGCCATTGGCCATTTGTTATTGTTACTCATTGGCTAATTCTATCTTAATCATTGACCCATAATTACTAATATATATTTTTATATGATCTTATCTTACCAGGAATACAGATTTGCATCCCCTCTTCCCAGGAACCACATGGCAACGGCTCAGTTCACTACATTTCCCAGAATCCTTCTAGACTCCTAGTCCCACCTATCTTGCTTCCCTATTGGCCAACAGTGCTTTACTGACATATACACAGGCCTTCCCCATAAATGGACTTTGTTAGTACTTGGTTTTATAAATAGCAAAAGCCTGACAAACCTAGCTGAAATCGATTAAACATATCTTTTAGCCCAGTTTTGTAAGCGTCACTGTAAGCAGACAGTGTCTTAAGAGAGTCCCACTGTTTTAATCAGAGGACTAGATTTGAGTTCTCAATCTGAGTGCAGAATTCTTACCTTTGGAATTTTCCAGCCTTCAATCATTTTGTATATACTATCTTAAAGGCGTTTTCCTTCCACAAACCTGTGCTACTTACTTGGAACTCTTGTGAGCCATTTAAGAGTCTAGGTTTCTCCCTTTCCATTCCTTTTTCATTTTAGAAAAGTCCAGTCACTTTGTCTTAGGACCAAACCTTATTTTACCATACAAGTCTCTGATTTTATGAAAACAGTTTTGTTTTTTTAAGCTTCCCTTCCTCGGGTGGTTTGAACAGGAATAGCGCCATGTGTTCATATGTTGGAATATTTTGTCCCTGGGGTTGGGGTGGGGGCTAGGGAATGATTAGGAGGTGTGGCATTGTCAGAGGAGGTGTGTCACTGTGAGCAGGCTTTGAAGTTTCAGAAGCCTATGACATTCCTAGGGCTCTCTGGCTACCTTCTCCTGCTTGTGATTTAAGATATGAGCTCTCATCTGTCCCTGCCACCATCCCTTTACTCCTCCATCACGGACTCTAACCCTCTGAAAAGGTAAACCCAATTAAATTTATTTGTTTGTTTGTTTTTCCTCTCTCTCTCTCTCTCTCTCTCTCTCTCTGTTTTCTCTCTCTCTGTTTTCTCTCCCTCCCCCCCCTCTGTTTTCTCTCTATAGACCAGATGGCCTTGAACTCACAGAGATCCATCTGCCTCTGCCTCACTGCCCGGTACATGCTTCATTTTTAAGAAAAGTCACTAAGACATTTACCAAAACCATGTCCTCATAATTGCCTCCTTCTTATGTTTATCCCTCCTTCCTGCTGGTTTCCTTTTCATTTATTTTCTTTTATAACATCATGAGACAGGAACATCCTAACAAATTTATCAACTTATTAAAAGATATTTGGATCTTAATTGCATCTATGGTATAATGTGACAAATTAAGATCAACTGTCTATATAGTTAAACCATTAGGTCTTAGGACAATTTTATTGAGACTTGGATTTTTAGGAAGGGGTGTGTGTGTGTGTGTGTGTGCATGTCTGCATGTGTGTGTTTGTGTGTGTGACATGAATCTAGAGTTATAGAATACAACATTTCACTAAGAGTCAGCTGCTATACCAAAGATCCAGTGAGTTTGGACAGTGTGCCATCATATATAAACAAGAAGCCAGAAAGGAGAGAAAATACAGAGTGCTAAAAATCTTCATGTTGTCCCGGCAACTTCGGTCTGGGCTACAGAAGGCCTCTGTTTCCCTGAAGAACAGGGGAGAGCAAACAGTTTCTTTTTTATGGAGGACCAGGGGGGAAAGGGAAGAGAAAGGGTAAGGTGTTTAGTGGTACAAACCAGACAGATTGCTGTTGGACAGGCTCAGTGATGGCAGGCTGGCCCCAGGGTATTTGTGTATTCATTTTAAAAATATAACATAGAGACCCCAAATATAACTTTGACATAGGTCTTATACTCCATTATACTCAAGAATTCTAGGAGTGGATTAAGTCTTGCCCATACTGTTTTAGACAAAAAAAAATGGCATATAGACCAACTACATTAATGCAGAGTACATTCTTAATGAAGTAAATGAGGTAAAAATAACTTTTTTGACAACTCGTAGGCAGAAGTCCCTTCAATGAAAACCCAGGGCCAGAAGTAATGTTGTGTAGACTTAAGGAAACATCTGTCCTTATTTATCTCATCCTCAGCAAAGCAACCTTATTGGCAAGATAGTATGACTTTGAGGAGGGCTGACTGCGTTACCACAGTTCCCACTGGCCAGGCGTTCAGTCATGCTGGCACTGTGCCATCTGTGTCTATCAGTCCTCAAACACTTCCCTCTTTGTCTGAATATCTAGACTCGCTCACTTCTAGAAAGCTCCGTCCAGTTAGTGTCTGCCGAGCTCAACCTGAAGCTCGGAAATGGCCATGGACTGGGAGGCAGGATTAACTCTGAAAAAAAAACCACTAATAGTGTGTGCAAGCCTTCATACAGTTCCTTTCTACAATATACAGGAGCAGCGGTGTCTGGAGCATAAAGTACAGAGATGCCACATCTAGCGTCCCTATCAGAACTGCGTGTACAAAGGCGCCGGACACCCAGACACTGTAGCAGGTTTCACTGTGGGGAGACAACAGACAGGAAGAAAGTAGCATGGGCCTCTGCTATCATGTAGTGCTTTCCATATAGTTTACTGGAAAATTATGATAGAGCTCAGGAGACAGCTGTAAGATATGTTTTTATTTCATGAAATTATCGTGAATTAGTTTTTAAAATCCTTTACCTAGCTGAAAACGATTATTATTGTAGCTTCATTCTCTCTGATATTGTGCTTTTATTTTATGAATTCCAATTATATAAGGCTCCCACACACCAGGTTACTGTCTTGAAATTAAAGCCCTCCTAGAATGTTACCGGACACTAGAATACACTAGAGCCAAAACTCGCAAATTCTCTGAGGAATCAGGGAGTGGGAGACGGTACATATGAACACTCAAAAGTTTATAAGAACAGCAAAAGGACTCTGCCTGGCCTTCAAGGCATAAAATGACTCTCTCTTTCTCTCTCTCTCTCTCTCTCTCTCTCTCTCTCTCTCTCTCTCTCTCTCTCTCTCTCTCTCCACACACACTCAAAACCTCCTATCTCTCATCAGTACTTCACAGCTTAAACAATGGTAAGCATCTCTTTTAAAAAGATATTTTATTTGTGTGTATGTATGTGTGCCTGTATGAGTTTATGTGTACCGTGTGTATGTGTGTGGGTGCCGACAGATGGCACTGGATCCCCTGGAACTGGAGTTATAGGTAATTGTAAGCTGCCATTCTGGGAATCTAACCCGGATCCCTGCAAGAGCAGCCAGTGCTCTTAATGGCTTAGCCATCTCTCAAACCCTGGGATCATCTTGCCCTGCTCACAGTACCCTCTGGTTGCACAGGACCTCTTGCTTCTACACAAAGACATAAAGGTGGCTGAAGCTTGTAACATCTGTTAACTCCCCCTGGGCATACAGATTCCTGTCTGTGGTAGGAGCCAGGAAGTCTAACCCAATCACTAAGACGTGGACTGCCCCCACAATACTGTGGATAACCTATGGAATTAATGAAAGGACTTGAAATTCTGAAATACTCTGTCTTTTCTGTGCCCTCAACATTTCTCTTCTACCCCCACCCCCATTTCTGCTTAACTCCTGCATCTGGAAACATGGTGCTCTCCTCTATGGGAACACTGCCAATGTTCGGTCACATTTTAACAAATCCTCCTGTCCTACAGCCGGGCTCCCCCAGAGCTCTCATTTACTTTGTGATACACGAATGTCAGGATTTCCATAGTTCATTTGTGCTACAGTAGCTGCTTTCTGCTCCATAATTTCAAGCCTTCTCCTGGGAAGATATGGATGCAGCCCCTCTGAACTGGAGAAACTATCATCATAATCTTTAAGCCGGCATAATCCTCTCCCAGATCGTGTCTTTTCTACAGCTCTGGTGTAGCAACATCTGCTCATCAATAGTCTCTCTGCCATTGAGTTCCTACATAGCATAAGGGGGCTCCCCAGAAGTGGGCACTATTGGGCCCCACTGCCTTGGAGTTAATAAGAGATTCGTGGGTGGAGGAAAGAGATAAGGGGATGTCCTGGCAGCCCAGTTTTCATTGGGCTTGTTCTCATCCCCAGACTGGTTTCTCAGGAAGTAGTATTCCTTCAGGAAAAAGAGATAAGAAAAAAAAAAAAAAACCACCTCCAGCCTCTGGCTACAGGAAACCAGTCACACTTTGGCTTAGGCATTTCTGGTGTCTCTGGCCTCTAGTAAAAACAAGGCTATCAGAATTTTAAAGGACATATCCAACTTTTAGCCAAGAAAGAAACTGTTCGTTTTCTTTTTACCCTAAACCACCTCACCTCGTGTTCTCATCACTGTTTTAATTGCCAAAGCATGAGGATTCTCAACTATCCCTGTTCATTGCTATCTCTCATCCACTTTTGTGGGTTCCCTATCGTCCAGGTTCCCGGAGTCTATGATCATCATGAAATATTTAGAAGACAAGATCAAGAATCATGAGATGACTTAGTGGGTAAAAACACCCGAGTCCAATCTCCAGAACCAACATTGTGAGAAGGGAACACCAACTCTTTACAAGTTGTCCTATGACTTCCACACACACACCAAGGCATGTGCATGCGTGTGCCCCAAGACACAAGTAAATAAACAAACAAACAAATAAATGTTATCAAAAAAAGAAGATGATAGTGATATCAATAAATCCAGACTCACAAACGTGTCCAGCAGGACGCTTGGATTCTAGGATAGCACTGTTTTCTTTCTCTGGGCCCCATTCATTGGTGAATACCTGGTCAAGACTCAGTTTCCATGACTGTGGTTCTTCCTAGTCACACTAACCAGCCTGTGTCTTTGAGAGTCCTACCCTAACTGAGACCCTGTTTCCAGCATAGCTCTCTTCTTCCTGATACAGACGTATTTCTTTAGTCGCAGCACTTGGGAGGCAGAGGCAGAGGCAAGTAGATCTCTGTGAGTTCCAGGCCAGCCTGGTCTACAGAGAGATTTCCAGGACACCCAGAGCTACACAAAGAAACCCAGACTTAGAAAACAAACAAACAAAAAACCCAAAAATGTAAATGTCAGAAAACATAAAATCCCAAGAAAAGAAAGACGTGAAAAATGAAGAGTAACAAAATTCCCTCCAAACAAGGGAAAGTTCTTTCCACAGAACCTAGAGGTGAGAAGAGAGGAGGTGCAGCCATGAC